TCTCTGGTGAAGCCTCTCACTGCACCTATACCTCTGGCTTGTACCCAGTTCTATAAGCATAAATAAATCTTTAAAATAAAATAAAAACAGTGGTAAGAGTGCACTCACTGATCTGCCTAGGAAATATAATTGTTATTTTATGACTTCAAGTTTTGAATCATAACCTTAATAATACTGGAAAGTTGGTTTATTTGTGGAGTGAAATGAATTACTTTCTGGGAACTAATCCCACTTAACAGTCTACCAACTCATGGTAGAATCTCAAATTTTGTTATTCCCAGGTATTACAGTGTCCAGAAAGAATTATCCTCAATGTGGAATGGATTTTTTAGTTCTGGATAGGGTAGTACATGGGCATTGGATGCATCCACAGAGAAAGTGACAGGTGAAATCACACTCCTTCAGTTGAATAGCATTGCAAAAATACTTGTTAGATAATTGATAGAAATCTGAATTTTTCTATCTGAAAAGCCACATCCTCTAAAAAGCTGGAAGCTGGAAAAAAATCTGCTAAAATGAAAACCTACTAATAAAAATGTAATTTCATTTCTCAGACCGTCCATGGAGACTAATACTATGGTAATTTACATATGTTGACAGGGCCAAGCTCATAGGCATGTGACCTGCCCTGTCACAAAGGATCTATGTTTGGTTTGGTGTTTTCCTGTCACCACGTCACTCAGTTCTTAACACTTTTTTTTTTTTTAAGATTTTATTTATGCTTACAGAACTGGGGTACAGGCCAGAGTTGTGGTGGGTGAGAGGATTCACCAGAGACCCTGAGACAAACTGGGGAGCAGAACAGGCAGATCTGCTGAAGTACACTGCTTGAGGGGAGCAGTGGGCTAGACAGGAGAGGTCTGCCATGCCATGTGGGTCAGCTCCCTGGCTGGGGATCGAACTTGTGCTGCAGTGGCTTTGTAGAGCTTCATAATGTGGTGCTTTAACCCGTTGCGCCACCAGGGAGAGCCCCTCTTAACACATTTTTAACAAAGAATCCCAAAAATCTCATTCTGTACTGGGACACAACAAATTTTTCAGCCAGTATATTGATCTCACTGTTGCTCTAACATTTGAGGCACTATAAATTATAAAATACCTTGTGAGTGTTTTAGGAATGATATAGTTGCCATTTGAGTGATATTGCTATTCTTATAAGATTTTTATTGACCTCTTATAATGTGCCTGATGCTATCTGTTGTATGATACATAAAATGAAAACAGTATAGTCACTGACTTCAGAGAGTTTTCATCCTAATGTTTAGCATTCCTTTTATATTCCAGCCTTGAAAATTGGAATAGTTACATGAGCCTATTGGCAAATCATAAAATGCATTCCATATATGTGTGGTAAATGCAAAGGACAGATGAATTACATGCTAATGAAGAGGTTTTTGTAGATGATCATTTAATTGGAAGAGGTTCACTTTTTCCTTATTAAAAGCATATATAAATTTTCCTTATTAAATACATAACGAGTACCCATGTTGGATATTTAATTATTCAAATGTCCCCCTTTATTATTTTGGCTAAGGGTATTGGTTGACTCGTTTGATTTTCAAAACTTAATTTAGAAACAATATTTCCTCAGCAGTGTACTTCGTTGATCTTCCTGTTCTGTTCTGCTCTCCACTCTGGCTCTGGTAAATCCTCTCACCCCCACTGCACCTCTCACCTATACCCCATTTCTCTATGCATAAATAAATAAATCTTTTTAAAAAGAAACAATATTTAACAAATTTTCATGGAAAGACTATTTCTAAAATAGCACTCTATCTGGAAGCTAATACCAATCGTTACCATTTTTTTCTATGCTATGACATGGTTCTCTTGTATGCGTAACTTGATGGAGGAGCTACTTAATCTGGGCCAATTTGCATGATTGGGCCTGGTACCCAGGCCATCTGTTGCAAATAGAGAAGGGAGGATTTCATATCAGTCCTTGAGCCCACTGTAAGCAGATCATTTGCAGAGTGTCCTATCGATCCCAACACATATCTCGTACTGATTCAGGATCTTGAAAATTATCTTTGTAAGTCTCCTTCTAACACCTGAATGGAGTACTAGAAGTGATGTGCATAGTTTCTGGTGGGGATTCATCAAAGGCATAGACTCAAATAGGCTTTGTATACATTATAAGAGATACTGATAATAAACTAATTTGTTACAGTTGGTGAAGGTGTGTCTAGATCAAATTTAATAGGTAGCATTCATACTGAAACTAGAGTGATATACAATAGAAACACTGGCTTTATCAAATGAAGAAAACATTTCTAATGATAGAAACATTCCATAATAAATTGTATATTAATTATTCTATAAAAAGTAAGTGAAATTTAATAAACACCTTGAAAAGCAATACTTCATGAAATACTCACTGCAAGATATACATTTATTTCTCTTTAGTTATAGTGACCCTTTTAAAGTTCCTTAAAATTTAAAAGCAAAGTTAGCTTGTCTATGCATTTTCTAACTACATTGTTAAATCATTGATGTTTAACAGAACTCATTTTAGTTTTAAAGCTATGTGTGATGTTCTCAGTTTCCGTTAATCTATACAATAATTTACAATAAAATAATCAGAAGGGAAAGATACATGCATTAGCAAGGCAAGGTAATCAAATTATATTTCTATAGCATGTAAATGCTTAAGTGCCTTCGGTGTTTTATTGAATAAGGTGAGGTAGATGCAGACATCTAATTATCTTGCCATCATCATTTCTTTCAAAGGAACAGGTATCATCCTTAAAGGCAATAAATAAAAGAAAGAGTTATATTTTGCATATTTAATATATCACTGAGAAATGCATATACATATTTGTATGCATGTGACTACACACCAATGGCAAAAAATAAGAAAATTAAAAATCAAATTTATTCCCCGATTTCATGACTAATAATAGGTAAAACCAATACCTAATATTTTACAAAATTTGAGTCTGATATTTTGTGGAACTTTTTTTTTTTTAAAGATTTATCTACATACAGAACTGGGGTACAGACCAGGTGCAGAGGGTGAGAGGATTCATCAGAGACAGAGTGGGGAGCAGAACAGGCAGATTGACAAAGTACACTGCTGAGGGGAGCAGCAGGCAGGTCAGGAGAGGTCTGCATGCAATGTGGTCACCCCTCAGCCAGGCGGGGATCGAACTCATGCGGAAGTGGCTTTAGCTTCTCAGTGCTGTGCTTTAACCCGCTGCACCACCAGGGAGGGCCTGTTTTGTGGAACTTTATTGATTATTACATATGACAATAAGTGCTTCAGAAGAAAAAACTTATTCAAGGATCAGCTTTGCACTGATGGAGCCATCAATACTTCAGTTACCCACCCCTTTGCCTTTCTGAGCAATGCTTATTTAAACTGTCTTACGTGTTCTTGCATATTGACTAAGGAAGCTGAAATTGATGGAAATAAATTTATTCTTTAGGAAAAGCTGACAGTTTGTGTTCTTGATGTTTAACAATAGAAAAACTAGAAATGATCCCCTGCCAAAGAAAATGAAGAAAGTTAAGTGAGAAAGAAAGCTAGCTGCAAGAAATATCATTTGCATTCCAGTGTCAGATTTATAATTGTGGAACAGATTTGAAAGCCAGTTTTGTCTCAGATGCAAGTGAAGCCAAACAGATTGGCAGAGACTGAACATCAATACTATTTGACAGCTGGATAAAAAAGTCCCAGGCCATATTTCTGAGTGGACAAATGTTCACTTTAGTAATGGCTGTCTCCCATTGGGCAACAACTAAATAAGCAATGAAAAGTTTTAAGGTAACATCTGAGCAAACAGTCTTTAACTACCAATATTATGTCATATATTTGTTACTGAACTACCATTTAAAGAAGTTGTAAAACTTCTAATATTTATTTCAAAGTATTAACCAAGGGTGCTTAGTCAACTTAGGAAATTAATACTAATTTTATTCTAGGTTCCTCATAGGAAGAGACTTACCAGAGTTAACTTACTTATAGCCTAATAGTAAAACTCTTTATCTTGAGTATTGTGAAATATAATTATAGAGTTTTTACAGGTCAGTTTTATTACTATTTTCTGTTTTTAATTTAGAATCATGTAAAACCCAAGTTAAACATATCTCAAAGTATACAAGAATTTTGGGTGATTTTTTTAAATTATTACAAAAGTTTATTTTTACATCATTTTGCACATTTTTTTTCCATCTCGATGGATTTTGGATGATTTTTTACTTGTATATATTCAGTACTTTTGGAACAACAAGGTGGGAGAAATATCTTTGATAATTTTCAGTTCTATAAAAAGTAAGATTATCATTGTTCATAAAAATCTGTAGTGAAGTAAGATTGGCTAGTCAGAGGACACATGCAACATTTGAGGTAATTTTTCAGTGTCCAAAGGGCATTTTTGGGTTCTCTTATTGGCTACCTTGTTGTTATTATCCATATTTCCAGTACTTAGCATATTAGTGATCTTGATAAATAGTTTGGTTGAATGAGTGATTATATAACACAGTGACAACTTTTGAAAATAATAATAGACTTGGATTTGAACTTAAAGATCCTTGATTTATCTTTCTGGCACTCCTACTCAGCCAGCTCCTGGCAAAGAATTCCAGCTTTACATATGAAGCTAATACTTTTCAGTTAATTTATGAAGTTGTTTTTGTTCTTTATCAAAGCTAGAGACTCACACTGTGCTATGATTGGTGTAGCAACATATTAGGAAAACCACCATTTTTGAGTGAGACAAACCTGGGTCCTGACCCCAGTACTACTACTTTACAATCTGTGCCCTCAGAATATGCTCTATCTTCTCTGATGTCAAGTTGTGTCATGCATCAGTAGAGGATGAGAACCTATATCTTTAATTGAGTGACCAGTCATCAGCCTACTGCCTGGACATAACAGCTACTCAAAATACATAACTAGGTCATTTATGAGTCATTATTTTTAAAAGAGAGTAGCACATAAAAGAAAAAAAATGACTAATATATGTTGAACATTGTCTACTTTCTTCTTGTTTTAATAGATGATGACTTTTTTCATGAACTCCCAGAAACCTTTCCATCGGACCCACCTGAGCCTCTGCCGCATTTCCTTATTGAGCCTGAAGAAGCTTACATTGTGAAAAATAAGCCTGTGAACCTGTACTGTAAAGCCAGCCCTGCCACCCAGATCTACTTCAAGTGCAACAGTGAATGGGTTCATCAGAAGGACCACATAGTAGATGAGCGAGTAGACGAAACCTCCGGTGAGTTTTCTACTGCATGTGGGTGGCAGTTTAGGACTCATTTGTTCAGTAGCTTGGCATAATGGTCATACTTATTCTTCTGATTAGTAAAACTGAAAATGAAGTTACTATCCCATGGCAAAGTTCTTTGAATCACTCTGGTTATGACTTGGTCCTTGTGGTTCAAAGTAAAATATGATTCATAACCTTGACTTTTATGTAACTGTTTGGAATTCAAACATGGGTCATGCTATCAAAGATAAATAATGATAAATTGTGGGAATATATAGACTGAATTAATATTCAAGAACTTAGTACAAGATGCCTTGTATATCACATGGTTGGCCAATCTGGTGTCTCTGAAACCCAAACCTCAGAACATGAGCCACAGGGCAAGACGGGCTTTACTGAAGCCACCACCTAAGTGGCTGGCGCCACTGGCAGCAGCAATGGTGGGCCTGCCACTGTAAAAGTCACAACTGTAGGAATTCCCACCTGTCATCAAGTGGGTTTAAATGCAGAGCTCCTTCAGCTCCTGTGGCAGAGAGGGAGTTTCCCAAAGACTCCCCACAGGGCTGTCTCTGGGAAGCCCTAGGCTGTCCCTCAGTGGGAAGCTGCAGGATGGCTACACAGAGGTCCACCTCAGTGGGCCAGCGCTGGTTGAGTTTGAGTACCAGAGTTCCCCAACTCTTGGGGCTTAAGTCCCAGGCCCCAGAAGCTTACTTGTGGGCAATGCAAGTGGCTGTGAGGTGGTCAATCAACATTTTACCACCTGCCATCACTGGCCCCACTGGGGTTCAGGCTGCTGCCAACAGAGGCCAGCAGTGCAGCAGGCAGCAGTGGTTCCCCAACCTTGCTACTTGGGTTATGAAGCCCCACTGTGGTTGCAGGGGCAAGGTTCTGGCTTGCAGGGTGTAATGTGAGGCCCCACCGGAGCAGCTGCAGTGCTGAGGCTCCCTGCAACCACAGACAATAGAGAGGCCTGTGCAGTCCTAGCCCACATAGTGGGCTCCCAGCAAAGCCCACTCTGCACCCCCAATGCTGTCAGTCACCACTCCCCTTTTATGTTGCTATACTCAGCTCCACTAACAGGGAACTGGGTGCAGAGTGCTCCCCACCCCACTGAGGCCCACTCTGGCTGTGGGTCCTTGAATCCCACCAGCCCATGAGCCTGTCCTGGGTCTGTGCAGGCGCTACATTTTTCCTTTCATATTTCGTACCTGGACAGTAGAATGGACCAAGATGTGAGTCAAATGAACAAACCCAGTTCAGTCAGGTTAGTATTTAATTACTCTGATCAAATATCAAAAATGAGCTATTTGCTATTAAATGATCCAATCTGTCACAAAGGATTAGAAATGGCCTCATCTAGTACATATGGTGGGCGGCCTTGCAAGAGGATGTAAGGCAGGGCAGAGCCAGCTAGGAATACTGTTCCCTGAACTTCAGAGAAAGAAGAAACAAGAAGGTTCAGCAACTGACCTCTGAAGAATGAATTAGCAGCCAGTAGCCAACCTCAAAAAAGAAGCTGAGACTATCACTCACAGTGAGCTGCTGCACTGACTGTAGTCTCAAGGCATACCACTGGCTCTGGTCTGGTGTCTTGGACAGCTGTTTGTTGTTGATGTAGGCCAAGGACTCACTTAGAGCAGTTCATGCTGGTGTATCTGACACCTAGTCATGGGGACCATGTGGCTGGCATTACTGGCCAGTGCTGCCCAGCGCTACTGACAGGTGACTGGCACCCTGTGTCCAGGTAATAGCTGAGAGCTGTGCACTGTTCCTAGTTGTCTATCACCATCTTCCAATGTTATCGCCTCCATTATTGTCCAACTCAGAGGCCGGTGCTGCCCAACCTAGCCTTCAGACTATTGCTGTGGATGCTGAGAAGTCATCTCAGAGACCTCACCGCTGGGCACCTCCAGCTACAAGTGAATCCTGGTCTACTGACTGTCAGTGCGCCCCAGACTCCAGGACCTCATTGATGAGGCCACTCTTTTGAATGAGTGTTCTTTGTTTGAGACTTGTGGACACTGTCTGGGGTGAGATAGTTGGTCACTTGTAGCCCTAGAAACTCTTTGCTTCCCCTCTTTGTTAGGTAAACCCCACTGTTGTTTCCTTAACCTGAGTGATCTTGCAATTGTGTGCATAGGTGAGAACCCAAAGCCTGTGACCCATCCTTTACTTGGACACTGTCCTTTACTGTCCTTTTGATGCTCCAGCTATAGTTTTGGCACTGTTTAATCAGGTCTAGATATTCTGGGTTGAGCAGTCAGCTCACTTAAACTAAACATGCTTACATCAGCATCAAATGTTAATGTCTAGTCCTACTTATATACATTTTTTTTAATTTTAAGATTATTTATGTGCACAGAAGTGTAGGGACGGTGAGAAGATTCACCAGGAACAGTGAGGGGAGAAGAATAGGCAGATCGATGAAGCCCACTGCTGAGAGTAGCAGTGGCTGGGTCAGGAGAGGTCTGCCGCACCGTGTGGATCACCTCCGGGGCGAGCAGGGATGGAACTCATGCTGAAGTGGCTTTAGCTTCTTTGTTCTGTGTTTTAACCCACTGTGCCACCAGAGAGGGCCCTTTACATATTATGTTAATAACTTGTAAATGTTATAGATTCCAATTATTCTGTGTCCTCAACTCCAAGATTAATCTTAATTGCTTAAATCTTAACTAAAGTTAAAATGAGAGCAATTGAGAATAGTGACATAAAGAGATTCATAAAGAGATGTGGTAGATTTAGCCACAATCTGAATGGATCTTGATCAGTGTGATTTTGCTCCTGGCATGGTTAAAACTCCTGGCTTTATCGCTCTGTAAATATCACCCTCACCAGTAAAATATTAAAGACATAGAGAGGATGTTAGATTTTAATAACCTGCAGGGTTTAGCCTGGCTTTAAAGGAAGCTTTGTTGAAAGTAATATTTTGCTACATGGTGGGTAAGTTAAGATAGGTGAGAAATCTAAAATTATTTTAAACTGAAAAGGTATATATATATATGCACACATATGTATAAATGTGTGTGTGTGTGTGTATATGTTTTACTGTGTTTTAAATGTTTTGCTCTACAAGAAAAAATAATTTGAAATTTCAGATCTGTATTACAGACATATATTTCAAATATTATGAAACCCACTGATCAAGATTTCTAAGCTATATGTGACAAAAATGGAAGCATGTAACTAGCTTCATATTTCTTCACAATTACCTTACATACCAGAAGGATATTTCAGAATCCAAATTATGCTTTGCTGGTATTTGTATCCAAATGTTGTATAAACAAAGGGTGTATAGAGGATTAACTA